CGGTCAAAAGAGCACCTTTAAACTGAATTTATTACTTAAGTAATCAACCGCCACGAACGAGCACGCGAGAAATTGCCACGAACGTATTTTCTCTCTTATTAATTGAAATGCAAGCTTGAAAGGAGAAGAAAAAAAAAAAAAAAAGAAAAAAAAGAAAAAAAAAAGAAGCGAGAAAAAAAAACTGCGAGAAAAATCGTTAAAAGTTAATCGATGATTAAATTTTAACGCGAGTGTATATGATATATATGATATATACATATTTGACAAAGATTTGGAAAAGAAAAGAAAAAAAAAAAAAAGAAGTGTAAGAGGAAGCAGTTAAGCGATATGGTGCAAAAAAAGTTTGCGGAGGACAGGTTGCGCCCTCTTGGGGGAGGGGGGGAGGTCCTGCGAAACGCGGACAGCACGATGTCTCGAAAGGGGTCGTCCCGCGAGACGTCTAATGAAAATCCTTTAGTTTCGCGGTTTAATTTTAGTTAAACTGGTTTTCATAAGTTTGACACGCTCACTCGTGAGAAATAATGCGATCTCATTAATATTCGTTTTTCTCCTCTCCTGCCAGGTGGAACGAATGAAATTTTATAATTGCGATGTAACTAATGGAGGAAGCAACGTGAAGAGGAAGAAGAGATGGAAAAGAAGTAGATTATCGTTCTATTGGTGCAATTCTGAAGGATATGGAAAATAAGTGAATGAGTAAAAATATGAGAAATGTTAAGTTGTAAGAAGCAATGTGTAAAAAATTGAAGGCCATCGAATTTAAAAGATTATGCAATTCTGCAGATTAGAAAATATGTAAATAAGTAAGTATATTTCATTGTAAGTAAATTATAAGTAAACAAAATTTTGTATTACACAAATTTTGATAAATATCCTCTCCAGGTGGAATGAATGAAACTTTATAATTGCAATGTAACTAATGGAGGAAGCAACGTGAAGAGGAAGAAGAGATGGAAAAGAAAGAAGATTATTGTCCTATTGGTGCAATTCTGAAGGATATGGAAAATAAGTGAATGAGTAAATATGAAAAATATAAAGTTGTAAGAAGCAATATGTAAAAAATTGAAGGTCATCAAAAGATTATGCAATTCTGCAAAGTAAGAAATATGTAAATAAGTAAGTATATTTAATTGTAAATAAATTATAAATAAAAAGAATTTTGTATTACACAAATTTTGACAAATAATGTAATAGTGGAGAAAGCAACATAAAAAAGAAGAAGAAAAAATGGAAAGCAACAAGAAAGAAGACTATTGTCCCGGTGCAATTCTGAAGGATATGTAAAATAAATATATGAGTAAATATAAGAAATATAAAGTATAAGAAGCAATGTGTAAAAAATTAAAGACCATCGAATTTAAAAGATTATGCAATTCTGCAGACTAGAAAATATATAAATAAATAAGTATATTTAATTGTAAGTAAATTATAAGTAAAAAGAATTTTGTATTATACAAATTTTGACAAACATCCTCGATTCAGTCCACGTTTAATATTGCAAAGGTATCTCATAATTGAATAAAAAGAATAAAAAGTATCTTCAAATAAATATTCTTGGTTTAATATAATATTTTAAATTTTTAAGGAGAGAAAAGAATATAACTTTGAATCGCATCTTTCAATTATTGAAAATGTGTTCTCCATTCTGAACATTGAAGAAACAAGAGAATTTGAAACAAGGGAATCTCTTTTTCCGATTGAGGTTATGTCAGTTTGCCTTTCTAGGTATGGCAATAATGCGTATCATAAAGAATTGAACAGAACAATCTAACCTCAAAATAGAAGGTTAGAAGAATTTAATATTAAGAGATGCCTCTTATTTTCCGACTCGAATATCGATGTTTCAATCTCAATTATTTTTGGCATTTCACTTTTATATACATATTTGAAACGCGTACCTTTATTGCTCGATTTAATTTTATTAATTGAAGGGAAATCGAGATAATTGAAGTACTAGGTGGATAAAACATTTTATTAGTTTGAGAATTTTATCAATTTAGAGAGATAATTGAGATGTTTGATGAATAAAATAGATCGACGGATAAAGTATCGGGAATTTTATTATCTCGCGAATAGCTCTGTTTAAAATTCAATATTAAAAATAACAATTAATAACCTATAAATTGAATTACAAAGCGACAAATAAGATAAACATCTGTTAAACGGATTTTAAATTATATTAAAAGATGAGCACGTTAATAATACATACATTTTTCTAAAAATTCTCAATTTTAAATATCTTTAGCTTTAATTCCTTTTTTTCTTTTATACCTTTATTCATCGAAACAAACGTATTTATCACTACTGGTCAATCACGTCAAAAATATTATGCTAAACTAAAATTGTTAAAAATTATTCAAAATAATCTCAATTCCACCTATCTATATTCTACCTACGAGAGAAAGAGTTTTCACACGTGCAAATTTCTAAAGAGAAATTTAGTTTGAATGTTTAATAGAAATGTTCGTACACAACGTGTATCAATGTCCATCGTTTCACACTACAATGATTAATGGAACAATGCACGCGGACGAATAATTGTGATCACGTTAAATTGCAGAGTTGGCGCATTGAAATAAGGGTATATACCGTGTTTCAATGCAATAATTGTTGGCGTTTCAGTAATCAGATTTGAACTTGGTGGTATTTTATAATAAAGCCAGCTCTCTCTCTCTCTCTCCCNCNCC